AGCATATTACATTATCGCGCATCATTCTCCCGTATCTACGTTTAGCGTTTTCGATTACGAAATAATTTCCATCCAATCGTGTCTACTGTATAATATTCCGTTTGTCACCCGAGCATGTTCGACGTTTATCCTCCCCAATCTGCCGACCAAACGCGCGGGGCGCGCAGCGCGCAGCGCACGTGTTTTTTTTTATGCGTATAATGCATATACCCACGCACACGCACGCGTGTGCATACAAACACACACACAATCATCCAGATATAGCGCGCGCAGAGAGGGAGCGATTCGGAAGGTTGACGTCATCGACGTCCCACCCCCTTTAAATTCATGCTGAATGCGACTACGACCGACCGACCGACCCAGCCTCTGCCTTTTCCCTTCGTTTCTCTTTTCCCTTCCCGTCGCTGCGTTCCGTTCTCTCCGCTCGCCACCGCCCCGTCATTCAATGGTAGGAGTGAGTGAGTGAGTAAGCGAGTGAGAGAGAGAGAGAGAGAGAGAGAGAGAGAGAAGGGGTGGAGGGGACCCCTCTGTAGATCCCGCAACGGGTTTCTATTCTCGGATGTCAATATTTCGTCAACTAGAGCCCACTCGCCGCGCAACAAAAGACTCCGCCGGGTACAGCCGTTGCTGTGGCGTGTGAGAAAGAACGAGGAACGTACGCGTATGCGTTTTATAAGAGGATGCACACGTCGAGCGGAGGAAGCGCGCGCGCGCGCGCGCAAGCCATGGGGATCCGAGTGCCGGGATTGCGCAAAGGGCGAGGCATTTCGGCGTACGTGATCGCGGCGTAATTTTGTCGGAGCTTTCAAGAGATACCTCCGAATTCTGCTGGATAAAAAAAAATGCACGGGAAAAAAGGACGAGAACAAAAGTATAGAAACCATCTATGTAACGAAGTAGACCAGTCGCGATTCAACGGAACGGACATTTCGCTCGCGGATTTTCCGGCTCCGATCGATTGCATTCTTAACGATAAAGTCCTCTACGCTTTTGACGTTGTGCGAGCTGCACTACTTCGAATCGCGGAATGGAATTTTGACATTTTCCGATTCGCACAGTCGAAACCGTTCTGTTCGCGCGCGTCGAGTACGATCGATTCCGAGAAATCACGGCGTTTCCATGCCGCTGGATTTCTGAGCGATCGATTTCTCTAGCGCATACATTGTCATCCCGATGTCGGCCTGGAGTTTTCCTGGTTTCCAGACCGGCTCAAAGTGTCTCGAATTTTAGTCTACCAATCGGGACGCGCGTTCTCGAGTGCGCGCATCCCGACCGACGCGTGACGAGCCTTTGACACGGCGGGTAATATCGTGCGCCGGGGGAATCCTTGTACGAGATAAATAAAACGGGCCCCTCTCTTTCTCTCTCTCTCACGGTCGCCGCCAACACATAATAGCCGCGTTCTCCTCGGCCGCGCTCGCGTATGAACTCGGCTTTAAGGTGAGCGAGTGCGAGCCAACATCGTCTTTGGAACATCGGGGGCCTGAGGTATCGAAAAGCGATAGAATATATCGTTTGACACTGATAATTTCGTACGAGATAGGTACGTATGTGTCAAGGATCATTTTAGAAGCGTGGGGTACGTCTGCAATGTATAAATAATAAATAAATTTTCTCATTCGATTTAGTGGTTTAAAACGGTGCAGAAAATCCTATATCCTGTAAGGATAAAAATACGCGCCTGAAAAACGGTATGCATGATGTGTGTGCATCATGAGTGCATTAGGTTTAATACTAATTGGGAATGAACAAATATGGTAATTGATGTATAGCGATTATCGAATATTAGCTCGATCAATATGTTGATTATAGGATAATCAAGATCGTTCATCAAACAAGCATAATCTCTGCCTGATGCCTCTGTTTTGTGCACTGCAGCCATATTTCCAAGAAGTATATATAACTGCTCGACGCGGACATAGGCAGTTTTACGAGGTGGTACAAAGAAAGCACTGTCGCGCGAAAGCGACTTTCACGTGGACGGAGAGTCCCGGAGGAGGATCCAGAGGCCCCGGGGCCCTCTTCGCACGGTTTTGCTCGCGCTGAAAGACGTTACTGAGCACTCAAGGAGAGAGAGGTCGGGTCGGAACGAGGGGTAACGGGGGGAGGGGAGAGTACTACAAACGAACGGCGGATGCCGATCGCAACACTTTGCTAAAATCAGGACAACGACGAGGAGGTGGAGGAAGGCGGAGGAGGAGGATGAGAAACGGGGTTCCGAGAGAAAGACGGAGACGGGAGACGCGAGACGAGACCGTTGAGACATCGAGCTGATCGAGCCCGCGACACGTAAACAGGAGCGAGCGCCCGAGGTCGACTCACGGCGAGAATCGTGGGAGGATTCCCTTCGTTTCTCTCTTTCTCTCTCTCTCTCTCTCTCTCTCTCTTCTTTTCTTTTTTTTCCCTTTTCTCCCTGTCTGTCCGTAGTGTGGGTGGGATTAGAGAGACGGGGACGCTGTAGAGTGAGGGGTGGACAACGGGTGGGAGAGGGCTTTGATCTCGGCAGCTGCTGCATCGCATCGTTATTTTCGGGCGGATCGCGCCGAGACAAAAAACATTTTTGCGGGACGCCTATCTCCTTTGTGGGCCGACGACGTTTTACCTGAACACATCGACGTATCTCTCTCATCTCCCGGGATGCGTCTCGCGGTGCCGCATTTCCCATTTAGGCTCTCCGCCGACGAGATCGCGGCCGCGGCGCGGCGGTGTCGCGATATAGGCCGCGCGGATTGAAACCCTCAAATAGAAAGAATTCTTTTGGATCTTCATTATTGGAAAAACCGATACGTTTCCATCATAAAATTTCCAATAATTATAGCTTTTTGCGAAACGTTTATATTATTAAACATATTCAATTGTTAAAATTACCTATATATAACATATTTCACTTCCATTTCGCAAAATAATATGTGCCCCATTTTTTTTGTCAAAATTGTAATAATTAATGATAAACATCCCAATATTGAGAAATATGTAATCTAAACTACAATAAAATTTTATTTAAATAGTATTTACTTATATTATTCTTTACATATATTAATGCCATAATATATAAAAGATATTTATACATCAATACGTAAATAAGGAGGAGGAAAGAATTCTGTATGTAGAATGCCTGGAACCTCAGGAATGTAGAAACATCATTATATGAATACAAGGGGGACTGTATAGACCCGTACTTCGAAATAGCGATCGGAAAAGAGAAATATCATCCTGTGCATCGTGAAACTAGGCGTGAAAATCGCGATGCGATGTGGACACAGATCGTTACGCGTGTGTAGGTGCATTGAGGTGGACTTAATAGGCCGTGGCTTTAAACGACCTCGATAGAGCATTTATCATCCTCGAAGCTACATATATAGCGTGCGGATACGTGTCGCTATATCAAGTGTACCTAATTTTAAAAAATTGGTTGGCTACTTTATATACAACTTATTGAGATTGATTCTGCAGGTCACCATTTAATATATCGCAACTAAATCGACCAATGCCATCAGTCCGCCTCTTGCGTCCTTTATTCGATTTCTAAGCCGCAAACAATCCATGTTGGTCGCTCCCAAAATATTAGATACAAACAAGTACCTAAGGTATTTAGGTACTCGGGTAAGTTGATTGAGTGTCACGTGGCCGCTTTTAATCGATGTGTCGGAGAGACGCTTCCAAGTCAGGAGTTGTAAAACATCGGCACAGAGGAAGAGAGACTCTTAACTCCAAGAGTTCGAGTCACCGCGTATACCGCGAATATTATCGAATGAGCTCTGGTTATTATTACTGTAAATATTTTTTTCTCGACGATCCGAACGGATCGTCGGCGATCGATGCAGCTTTTCGATCGTCCTAGGTAGGTCAAAACCTTCGAAGCATTACGTGAGAGAAGCGCGAAACTCGTAATCGGGTTAGCGGCGCATCTGGTGCGAGACCGGCGTGTGCCGGTACGGGACGACATAATGAAAATTGGTGGAACTTTGATTTCAGCGCCGTTCCTATATCGATCGAACGTGCGCGCGAACGTAAACACGCGGAGCGAACTAAATGAGGAAAATTGGTAAATACCGCCGCCTTTTCTTGAGTGCAGTGTCGCAATTCTTATTATAAGTCAGACGTAATGGATTTCGATGACTAATCGCGCTAATTATCTAAGATTCGGCGCTCAAGATCAAAGTATATCCGAAAATGTGAAGTACATCTATCTCTTTGTTCTAAGAAAATTATTTTTTTAAAACAATGATAAAAATAATGACGTTTGATTAAAGATTCGAATAACAAAGGATAATAATCGCAGAGATAATCGCGGAGATAATCACGAATAACGAAGAGAGAAATAACGAAGGATTTCGAAAGTAAGTAATATTCCACTTTCGTGGGTTGCTCCAAGGACTTAGAGCACCGACGCTTTTTAAGTTGTGCAATCTGGAAAGAGATGCTATTTTATGTAACTATATCTGCGGCTATTTTTGATGGCAGTAACTTCTGCTCGGAATGTCATATCGGGGATATCTTAGCAGCAGGCGCGCGGTCGTGCAGAAGCGAATAGCGCTTTCGGAATATCCGAACATCGGGAGACGCGATATCTTCGGACTACATCGTATCGAAAATCGTTATCCGAGAGTTAATCGTTAATCCAAGTAGGAGCTTAAGTTCAACGAATGCGCGCCCCGCAACGCGACGTCTATGTGCTGTTAGCGCACAACTGCGGAGATCGATATACGTATAACATATAGATTGTCCTCGTAGTAGTATATCGCAATATATTGCCTAGCCTCTATCCCCCGATTCTCGATCGGTGACGCGCGCGCGACGAGTAATTTCTCTATATACTTCGCCGAACCTCGCGCTATGAGAAGATTCTGTCATTCGCAACAAATACTCGTGGCATTTCGAGGTGGCGAGGATGGATTTTTCCCGCTGACTCGCTCGAAAAGGTCGCACGACAGAGCGCCTTGAATGTAAGTCTCCTACATCGTCATCGCGTGCACTCGCGCGCGCGCGTGTGCGTGTGTATGTGCGTACGTGCACGCCTTATTTGCACATTTGTCATATAAAAATACGCGGATCTCTCGGATTGCCAGGTGTGTATCAGTGACGGAACAGCGTCTTCGCATAATTAATTTATCGTTTCAATCGCGTGGATCAGCCGTCAGGTCGGTATACGCAGTGGCTGCTGCATCGATGGCACAATCGGTGGCCTTTAATCGCTATGCGCTTTCCATCACGCATCACGAGAAAATTTATGCCAAGCGGAAAGTCGCAAGAGATTTTTGCAGGATGTTACAACCTACGTGATAGTGCATAACGCGACGTGTGCGCGCGATGCGTTGCTTTGTCAATAAATAATCAAAACGCAGGACGTTAGTTCTTCAATAAATAATCAACGCATCGTTAATGGAATACGCACATCTTATTCATTTCGCAAATTTTCGTCGTAAGACTGTTGATTAGAATTCCATGGAATTAATAATCTTGTACTGTCATTATGGAGTAAAACTGATATACTCCTCTGAGAAATGGAAAAGAATCGATGTTGCAAACTTTCAACGTAAGTATAAGTTCATAATTCGCAATTTTATGACTTCCTTACTTAGTTTTATATCTTTCATATCTTTAAATACAATTTAATTATAGATATTAATCAGAATTAGCGCTAATATCGCAAGCCACTTGAAGAGGTTTTCACACTTATATCGTTTTAATTATATTTTATTAGCTTATTAATTTAATAAAATTATCGTGCACGTTTAAATTCACGCGACTGCACGGAGAGACTGAGAGTTGCACGGATAGGAACTCGAATTTCATTACTTTATTACCGCAAACGAAATACCTTTCCCTATATCTTTCCCTGCTTTGACACGATCGAAATTCTTCACGGTAACACGTGCGACCCATAAGGCCATACCCGTGTAAAAGCGGAAATAACATCTGCTCGTAACAGATAGGAGAAGCCAAAAACTTACCAAACGCAACCGCAGACGTAAAACGTACAGTTACTTCCTTCCTTTCCATTCCACAAGAAGGAAAAGCAAGACCGTAACTTTTACACGTGTATAAAAAATATATATTATTGTGTGTGTGTGTGTGTGTGTGTGTGTGTGTGTGTGTGTGTGTGTGTGTGTGTGTGTGTGTGTGTGTGTAAAAGTTATTATTTAATAGACATCTATAAATATTATACTTAATAAATATACTTAATTATCCAATTTTTTAATTAAATAATATTAATCATTATCTGTTATCTAAAATTTTAATAACTACAATTATACGTAAGTAACTGAATTAGCGACTGCACTTTGCTTACAATAATAATTTTTTCTGTATTCGTTTTAGCGAATTATAATCCAGCGTACAACAGGATACGTGATAAAATCGCCGGCGGGAAAAATATTACAACGCTTTGAAATGTCTTCGTTCCAAACAAAACTGGTGCTGGTTATTCATAATGAAGCGAATGGGGGAACAAACAGATTATACAACGACGCGGTATACATCATGTCAACCTTATATAAGGATCACAGTCCGATTCTGCAACAATACTACTATCAGTATCCAATAATTATGACTAGCAGACACGATGATGCGGTAAAACATCGACCGGCGTTGCGTTGCACGCGTAGCGCGATTGTCTGTCATGTTCTCGGCGCACGGTGTTTTACGACGCAAATTAAATTAGAACAAATTTTTCTTTATCATCGATTAAATCGCAAGGAAATCGTCGATTTTTAACACCGAAGTGTTTTAAAGCATTAAAGAAACAAATCGTATCCCATACATTCATCGACGAAAAATATCACGTTACTATTCATAACGCGAACACTGTATATTTACATGACACGTCGCCACGTCCTTTCGGATACGTGATATCGGGAAGATCGGAAAATACACTCGCGTGCTTTATCTGCATCTGATTGTGAGACCGAGAAAAAACGAGCGTTTCGTTTCATTAACGAAACCTCGCGGCGATTTTACGCCGAAAGTCGCATGAAAAACTTCCGGCATCACGAGAGAACGTGTCCTCGCGAGTTCGCGGAAGGCCCGGTTGAAGTTCTCGAAAAATCGTTTCGTGAGTTTTGCGCCGATTCGTGAGTCAAAATACGACAGCGCGAACTCATAACTCACTTTAGGAAAGGCGCCAGAGCTTATCACTAAAATCTCACCGTGATCCTGCGGGCTCGCGTTCAGAAAGAAATATTTTGACGTGAATACGATATGTATCTTCCTCGACAACAGCTTCGGCACTACGTCAATAAGCGTGCGTATGTTCGCGCGAAATATTTTTACACTGTTTTTCATTCCACGCTACTTTTATCGTCAAATATCGAGTAAGACGAAGAAGTTTTTATCAGTGATTCAATCGTGGCGTAACATCCGCGCCCGAAACCTCTGTCTTTTGTTTGCTTGCATATGTACGAATATGTATGAATATGTCGAAATCCGCCTCAAGGTTGAAACTGTCGTTGCGCGTGGAATTGCGCACGCACGGCATCGAGCGCGAGAAAGAAAAAGACTTCACCGATAATTAATTCACGTGTCTCTGACGCAATTAATCTGCAATATCAAAAATATTCGTATCCGAAGAAATTAAACACGACAATTCGAACTTCGAGATCAACGCATAATTTTTTAAAGTAAACCTTTCAATTCAATAAGGACCGAAATAGAAAGAGAATTTTGTAATTAAAGCGTAGATTATCAGAGTCGCATTTCTCAATCAGTATAGGACGGAGCTCGTTCTAAGACGCATGTAAAGTCCGCGATTTAATTGAAGAAACGGCCGATATGGAAAATTAGAAAGTTACAACAATAATAATAATCTGTCAAGCTTTCGCTGAAAAGAAAAATAGGTCTCGTTGAAGGATCGGTGGCTGACAGCGGCGTTTGAAGGACGGACATCCCACGTGCGACAATTAGAAATTGAAATGCATCCTCGAAAGACCGAACGGTCGATCTTTCGACCGAGAGATGGTAGATCGGCACGGCGACGCGACACCGAGACAGAAGGCATCTCTTTGCCGGCACGCTCGCATTCGGCGCGACCAACACACAGAGCGCGCCGGTTGCATTTATGCAAATAATGGAGCGCCGCGGAGAAGGTCTGTCCTGTCAGGATTCGGAGAAAGTTGTTTCAGGGCGTTGATTGGCGGGTGACGAAATCACGGAAGCCGCCGGCCAATCGTTGCTCTGGAAACTTTCCCAGAACGCTTAACCCCTTTGACCGTTACATAAATATCACCCGATCCGCAGCCGCGGCTGCGCTATACACCGCCGTGTGGTATCCTGGACGATGAGATAAAGACGATGGCCCCTGGAGATCGCCGGGCCCCGGCGATCTGTCGCGCGCGCTCTCCCACGTAACGCGGCTCGCAACATTGTAGATTGTTGCGAAAACGATGTCGAATGCGACTTTCGGTTTCTCTTAAATCTTACTCTTAAGGAGTTTATGAAGAGCTTCTTCAAAGGTAAATTTCGTAAAATTCTTCCCATTCACATCTTATCCTTTTTTATTTATTCAATCGTAAAACGTAAAACTCTTTCTTTTCCTTTTTTTTTTACAAAAGTAGATACTGTAATTTTGCCATGTCACGAATTGTGAAAAAAAGAAATCGTGGACTGATGCATGTCGCGAATCTCTCTTCGTTATGCGAGCTAAGAAAAATTGTGAGGTAACTCTCGGCGAGAAATATCAAAAGTAATAAGTTAAAGATTAATAATAATTTAATTTTTAAAATAATAAGTTAAAGAATAATAATAACAAATTTGGTCAAGGTGATTTACGCGCGTTCTGTAAAAAAAGAACATTAGCGAAAAAATGCGATTGTTTTCGTATTATCAGAATTTATATATCAGACGGCAAAAAGTTAACGCGCGAGATATAAATATATCTGACGAAGGCCGGTGGGAATATATCGTCGAAAAATCGGCCGCATATATAGAAATCGGCGAGACGGTGATCTCAACGTACGGCGATCTTGTTAGCGGAGAGAGATCAAGCGAGCGAGATCGGTGACTAAGCCCCCCGAGAGTACAACTGGAGAGACGCATACTTTCTTCGTCGTCCATTTATAGTTTCATCGTGTGTATATATAGAGGTCTGGAAAACAAGGAAGTAAGAGAGAGAGACAGAGAGAATGTGTGCGCTTAGAGCCTATAAGTTAACGCGGCGGCACCGAAATAACGTCGTTTAGCCCGCTGACGGTTATGGTAAAAAGGACGTGGCATAAAACGCGCAAGAAAACTTTTAATATACCTAGTTCGAAGCTGTAACGTGCGCGATGATTTTATCTATGTCAGGGTTAAACTGACCGCCGCGCGCGGATAACGCGGTTAAGGAAATGACCTCGCAAGGTCGGACTTTATTAACATATTTATTCGAAAGGAAAAAATTCTTGAAGCTGTATCTCCTTTTTTTCGCTTTATTGGAACGCGTTGTACGTAAAACGAATAATAGATTCTTATTGTATATACGAGTACAATGCCTTGGTAGTTTAAAGCATTAAGATATTATCGATATCGACAACTTCTCTTGCGCTCTTACTCTTCAAAAAGAGAAATTTCGTGAAGATTAAGATTTGAATTTATAAAGATATAATTATGGGTTGTCCACGCTGCAATTTCCTAAAAAATAAGTAAAATAAATTTTGTATAAATTATAAACTACAAAATTAAGCTTTGAGGAAAAATGTTTTACATGAAACTTTTTAATTTTTTAAAATTCGTATTTCGAAAGTAACGAATGAAAAAGGTACTCTTGTTGATTTCAGCGGCGAAAGCACGAGGAATAAAAGTTTGACGTGAAGTTTCCGTAAAAGTAACTCTCGTGCTTAGTGCAACTTGTACAAAGTGAACGTACGTTCGGTTAAACGCGTACAGAGACACGATCGATCCGAGGATCCTATGAAAAGTGATTGGCAATTGCGCACTGAGCTCCGAGCAGTGGCGTAGCAAAAACAGATAGATACGGAAAAACATTTGAAATTAAAAATTATCAATGGAATCTTGCTGGAGAAACTAGTCTTCTAATTTTAGATACGGAGATCATTACGGTATAGTTTTATAATATGTATGTATATGTATATTACAATATAATTTTACCTATTCCTGTTTTGTAAAACTGCATATTGCGGCAGCAGCGATATCTCCGTGAAATAGCACTGCTATTTCCACGGCGGCGATACGCGCGATACAAACAAAATGCAGAAGAAAGCGCTAAACTTTATTAACTGGAACTCTTGGAAAGTGCATCCCGGTGACACGATAACGATTATTTTCCTCGCAGTGAAAGGAAAATGTTACCGATCCGCCGTGTTTCTCTTATCTAATTGGCTATGTCGAACGGAGCTAATTGGCTATATAATTCGACGCGTGTATAACGCGAAGTCCGTATCGGGAGCGCGCGTCGTATAGAAGCGGAAGAAGAAAAGTGACGTTACACACGCCGTTTCCGCAAATCGCCGCGCGGAGTGATCTTCCCCGACGAAACATTAACATCGAAGCGCGCTCGTAAAGCCGACCCTCAGCCGCGCTCCAGTGAAATTTCTATACGGCAAGTGTGTATAACGCGTAGTGGATTTCTATCGAGAATCCGTCCGTATCGTATAGAAAGTTGGGTCGCGCAAGTTATAATCGGCCGATTACCGCGCGGCACGACAGTGGCGCGCACGCACGCACCGACGTACGTACGTACGCACGCACGCACGCGCACGCGCGCGCGCACCGTAGAAACGAGCGGTTAATGTACAAGGCGCGAATGACAGCCGATGGTTTAGAGCCTTCGCGCGGTAGTAACGTGAGACGCGTCCTTGCCACGCGCGATCGCCTCGAGCTAATCGACGCGTCCCGTTCTCGATTGTCGCGTTTTTTCTCCCTCCTCCTCCTCTTCCTCCTCCTCCTCCTCTTTCGCTCCGGTCCTCTTTCCCCGAGCATTCGGCGCGCTGCCGCAAAGTAGCCAACCTCGGCAAATTTTTCCAATTTTTCTGCAGAAATTTCGTGTCATTCGGTAAAATGTAAATTATAAAGGTATTTGATGAAAAAAACAAAATCCTTGAAATTATATATATACGTATGATACAGATATACAGAATGTGTATTTTCCTCTCGTCTTGTTTGTATTTTTATAATTCTTGAAAAATGTTATAATTTTTTATAAGCAACACTAGAAAGATATTAGATTTATTAATTTATCACGTCTGTACCGATGTATGTTCTTCTTTAATGCTCTTATATAAAACTGGGTTATTAACAGCAATAAAATGTGAGATAACATAGCAATTCTAATTTTATAATAGTGAATAGATAAGTACAACACTTCCAGGTAAATTAATTAAAACGCTCGATAAAGACTTTATCATAACTTTAAGTAAAATTGTCAAATAAAAGATTATTTTAAAAAATTGGTTCAAATGTACACAAATACATAACATTAATATTTTATGACATAGTTTTTTTTAACTTTCACATAATAAATTTGAAAACAAAAAAAACGAAATGTACACATAAATTGAAAAATATTTATCAATGAAAGTTTTTTTTATCATTCAATTTTATTACAGATTCTTAGGTAATTCAATTTAATTCTTGCGTTCGATTACATTTTTTTTCAAATGTGTTCTACCCTCGTCGATAAGACTCGACGATGAAAGTTTAAGTCTGGGAGCTCGCGGGTAACGCTTACCTACCAAAGCATTGTGTGTAAAATCATATGATAATATTATTCTTCGCTTGTTAAAAACGTCGAATCGTCGACCTTCCAGCCGAGCTCTTATCGCGCTGAATTTTATATCTTACCTTCGGCGCGGCTTATACGCGACGTGCGCCGCGCCGATCGACGCTTTAAACTGTAACACGGCGCGGGCACGCGGGACGACGTGCGCTTAATATATACGCGACGTCGAATGACAGCCGATAGAGTTAACCGGCGCCGCGCGGATGCGCGATCGCCGTCTGATTAATTAACACATTCTCCCCGATATATTTCGTATGTTTGTGTAGATTGTGTAGATTTTATTTTAGGACGCAAACCGAGCGCGCGGATCAACATTTGCTACCTGTTGGCCGATAAAACGCACGCGGTATCAATTGCAAGCGATTTAATTTCATAACGATTGATATAAACGATCGACCGGCGGCCAATTTCGCCGGTAATCGAATACGAACTCTGGTGAAACATCGAACGAATACGCGAACAAATAGTGCAATTGTTATTTATGGTCGTACACGATCAATAGTGTATCCAAATCCGTTTTTGACTCCATAATTTCTCTTTGCAGGCAATTGTAGAGGTAGAAATCACCCGCTCGTATCACGACGTATTTTAAGGGACAAAAATTAACAATACTTGGCTTAATAATAAACTTAAATCGTGATAAATAACGATGTTATTTAACGTATTGCTTGTATATAGCTCTCTTTCACATTAAATTATACAAACTACGTAAACTAAGAAAAAAAAAGTTCAGTAATTTATTAGTAATCGGATTGCGTACGAATGCACATGAAATACGCATAAAACGAATTTCAAAATGCCGATATTTTATCCCGCCAGAAAAAAAATCGCTAATAATGTAAGGAATGACCGAGCTTCGACCGCGTCTGTTTTCTGATTGGTTT